TGTGCGGATAGCTAGAGTCGCCACCGTAATTTTTTTTATTCAATATTTGGGAAAGGTGAAAAAAACAGGAAAGATTTTTGATAGATTTTGAGTTTGGGGGGTAAGATATAAAAAGGGAAGGTGTTAGCACCCTTTTCATCCGTAGTTATCTACGACTCTTAATTACTTAGCTCACTTTTGAAAATCTTGCTTTGTGTGTGTGATTTGCTTGAAAATATTTAGAAATTGTCAATGTAAGACTGACTTTGTAATGATTCTTGTATCAGTCCTCAAGAATGTGTACAAAGTGTTATTTTTGAAAATATTTGTTTGAAAGTGTAGTGTGAAAAAAAATTGAGAAAAGTTGTGAGCGGACAATTAAGAGTTTCTTACCCTCTAAAGTATTTCTTATTCTTTTCCTTCTCCTTTAGAGATAGTACTATCCATACAATTAGTTGGTAGGTATCTCTATCTATTGGATGTGAAGGGACAGTCGTAGGGTCGTCGTATGGTCATCGGAGGCAACAAGTAAGGATACTTTATCAATTGTATCGAAGGGACTATCATCATTTTGTAGGCAACTCGAATGGACTAGATCATCTATTCGTAGGAAACTTGAGGGACATCGAGGAACTATGATCTTTTGTATCGTAAGGATTATGATGATTGTATCGAGAGTCTTTTGCTAAATTATCCCCACTTTCGAGGGACGTGACCAATATTTCGTAAGGCAACAAGAGAGGATACCCTAGAGGTGCAAGTGTGTGAAGTGTTTGTTTTCAGTTATTTTATCTTGATAATTAGGGTTTTCTAGGTTCAATTATTAGTCTTGTCATACAAACCCTAGTTACTAGCAGTTAAATATGTACAGAAAAATAAAGTGCGGAATATAAAGTGCGGAAAATTAAATCTAAGCTATTACATCCTATGAGCAGTTATATAATAGAAAAAAATGCGGAAAGTAAATCTACGCTATTACAATAGAGAATGTGTCTTATACATTTGATCTATGAAGATAAATAAAAAAAATAAAAAAAATGCTTTGAGAAAAGTTTGAAATACCTAAAATTCTAAGTATTAGTATTTTGGTATTTTATGAAAAAATATATATTTAAATGATAATAATTAATAAAAACATAAATTCTAATTGATTTTAATATTTAAGAAAAGGTTGATTAATTAATTAATTTAGTAAAATAAAAAATATTAATTAAAATCTTAATCCTAATTTATTAGTGTTAAGGAAAAAAATTAGGTTAGTTTAATGAATAATTAGTTAAAACAATTAGGGTTAGAAAAGAAAAGAAAAGAAAAGAAATTAGGTTAAAAAATAGGGAAAAATGATTTGCATGGGGTGAGTGTTGAACCCACGCCCTCCTGGCTTCACACTGCACTGCTTGCCACTAGACCAAACGCCTGTTGATGTATGGAAATAGGAATCGCACAATATATATGAAACATGCGTTAGTTTGAAAAATAACAAAAAAATATTGCAAAACACAGGATCGAACCCATGTCCTTAACGTTACAGGCCTTCGCCTCAATCAACTGCGTTGCACTTCAATTCTATTTATATAAATGAAATTAATAAATATAATATAAACAAGTGGACCTGAGAGGCACCGGAGCCCTAGCTCCGGTCGTCTTCTCCGTCGAGATGATTCTTTATCCTGCAAAAATAGCGCGTGTTAGAGATCAAGAAGGACTATATCCTCATAAATTGATCCTTGTGAATCTAATCGTGGCATTATTTTTGGCTAATTCGACCTGTACAATGAGATACGGGCAAAACGGTTTAATAATTGATGGACCATTCTAGCGTCATGGGCTTCATGCAAGGGATCAAACCTGCACTATTTTGTCTCAGGAATACATTGAGATTGTTAGTTTAAATCAAAACCTCATAGAAATCAAAATACGAATTTCATAAAATATGTAAATCGGCGATGTATAGAATGCGCGTTTTAGTCACCTTCGATCATCAAGAATGATCAAAACTTACTCTATGATACCTTAGGGATCGATTTGAATGGATGGCTTGCTTTGAGGATGGTTGAATGATGGATTTCGACTTCACCCTCTTCCTTGCAAATTTCAATCTCAAAACCCTTGTTTCTTGAGCAATTTGTGTGTCCTCCTTTTGGTCTGAATATGATGAGTATATATAATGAAAAAGATTAGGTTAAGAGATGGGCTTGGACATTATGTAAAACATATCTTTTGATTTTGTTTGAAAATAGATTGAAATCATATAAAACCATGAAGATTTGATTCTCAAATAATTCCACACGATTTGTAATGTGACCTTGGGCCTCCAAAAAATTTAGATCTCAAGCTTTTTATGCCTTACACCTTCACTTAATATTTATTTGATTTAATTTTGAATTTAAATGATTAAAAATCAAAATAAATGAAATTAAAATTAAAATGATGCATGAATGGACTTAGAGCTCCATTATGAGGTCAAGAACACGTTTGGACTTTAAAAGATATGTCCATTGGTCCAAAAGTTAAAGTTTGCTCACATTGATCTTCATGCATTTTCTCAAAGTTGCCCAACTTGTACAACTCATATGTCACTCATTTTTTATCATATGAAGATGATCTTGGACTTTTTGAAAACCTAAAGATGTTCCCTACAATATTTATGTTGGTCATTTTTTTCATTTGAAGACTTTATCTTAATGTAAATTTCTTTGACAAAAAAGTGTCTTTTTGTTGACTTTTAAAATGACCTGTAATGTTTTGACCCATATCTCCCAAAAATGAAGCATTTTTGGCCTTGAGCTTAGAGAGACAAAGTTGTAGAGAATTAAAGTTCCTTCAAAATGAGCTTTGATTGAGAAATTTCAGATGAAGTATGTGAAAGTTATGTTTGGTCAAAGTTTAGTTAACTTCTCCTTAAGAAAATCATGATTTAGTAACTTTTGACTTTTGATGAATCATGATCAACCCTTGATCAAATGATTAATGTGACTTCAAATGTTGATGTTGACTAAAAATCTTGAAGTTTGATTGTAAATTGGTCAAAGTTAACTTTTTGCCCAATATAGTTGATTTTCGATCATCTGACTAATTGACTAAGCAAACTTGTGCTGCAAGGCTTGGAATTTGACATGAGAATTCTTTGATACATATGAGAAACCATGAAATCTAATTGAGACATTAGAAGTCCAATTTTCCTTGAGAAAAGCAAAACTCTAGTTGTAGGTCAACTGCTTAGGAGGAGGGTTTGTCTGATCAATTCTTGAGTAGTCTTGAACAATTGAGAACCCTAGGAGCATGAGGAGATATCTTGATCAATTTGTCTTAAAAAATGGGAGAGCAAATTTTAGGATACAACAATAAACAAGTAAGATTTTCAAATAAATGAGAGAGGGGTGTAAACATTTTGAGATCGAAGGGTTATGAAGCTTCATTTGTTTTTGGAACAATGTTTAGTTATATTTTTTTCATTTTAATTAATTAAAATAATATTTTAAAATTAAAGAAATGATTTTCATATATTTTAGAATTTAAGAAATTATTTTTTAAATATTGTTATTTCATTTTATGACGTGACGTGCATTATTTAAGACCATGTCAACATATTCACATGTCACATACTCCAACTAAAAAAAAAAGACAAAAAAAAATTAATAAAGACTAAAAAATTTAAAAAATTAAAATAAAGACTAAAACTGCATTTAAACTTTAAAAAATAATAAAAACTCAATCATAATCAAGATTTGATTAAAAGAATAAGTAATCGAAAAGAATTAGAGTTATAAATATATAAAAGTTCTTTTGTTCTTGCGCTCAAATTTTTTCTTGTAGTTTAATCTGTTAAATGTAATTTAAGAAAAAATATGTCTTAAAATACTAAAAGATTGCCCATACATACCAAAAAAATTTAAACTCTTATTTTTTTTTCTTAAAACTTCTTAAAAACCAATATGAATAAACAATTAAGAAGTTTTTTAATCAATTAAGTTAGAAAGGAAAATTGTCTCGTTGAATCAAGCTGGCTCGAGATTTTTACATCTCATCAATAGCGAGAATAACACCTCATAATCAATTAAGTGACATCAATATTAAAGTTTTCTTTCTAGCTTAACCTAATCAATTAGGTTGATGTTATAATCGGTTAGAAAGCAACAAGTCCCATAGAATGAGTCTTAATATGGGTTAAACTAATCTATTAGGAAGCAACTAGACTTATAAATTGTTGTCCTTAGGTCAAAAAAAATCATATGTTCTTTTTCATTTCTATAAGCCACCAATTCTTTAGAATATCAACTCTCATATCTCACTAGAGTATGTTGTTGTGCTAAAATTGTTTATTCAAGAGTTAGCTTCTCAAGCAATCATGTTAGGCTTAACAAGTGTAAAATCTCAAGTATAGAATTCAATATAAGATTTGTTGGGCTTTACATGCGTAGAAGTTGTTTGGAGAAGATTGTTAGACAATATTTCTAGGTTCAAGCTTTCTGAAAACAAATGAAAGTAGCATGAAAATCTGGTACTAGGATAACCTTTCTTGAACAATTGAATGTAGCATGACCATCTGATACCACGATAACCTTTTTTGAAACAAAGGAATGTAGTATGAGTATATGGTACTACTAGGATAACCTTTTTGAAGGTACATATTGGGACTAGTATCTAAGATTGAAAGCTATGCGATGTACAACACAGATATTTGCCATTTAAGCATGTCACATGATTAAGCATAAATGAGCCATTATGTGGTACAAACACTGTACCATCATTCAAATTATCATATTATAATTTATGAATTAGTAATCAAACACATAATGGGTACAAACACTGTACCATCATTCAAATTATCATATTATAATTTATGAATTAGTAATCAAACACATAATGGGCTTCAAAAACAGAATTTAAGTTGAAGGAACAAAAATACTCATTATGTACGCAAGCAAAAGGCTATGAAACTAAAGTCAAAAACGCACAATTAATTAAGATACATCAATAAATCAAAATCCGGGGATGCCAATACTACTGTCACAAGCTGCTTAACGATTTGCCTTGGCAACTCTCTCAATCTCATCTTTCTTCTTGATTGCATAACTGAAACAACGTATAATATTTGTTGTTCAGCAACTCGCTAAATAAACTAAATGATAGACAAGATAAAGTCATCAAAAAATACCTGTTTGATGAGCCTTTTGCTGCATTAATAAGTTCATCAGCCAAACATTCAGCTATTGTCTTAATATTCCTGAACGCAGCTTCACGTGCACCAGTAGTGAGAAGATAGATTGCTTGATTAACACGGCGAAGGGGTGAAATATCCACTGCCTGTCTTCTCACAACTCCAGCAGAACCAATTCGAGTAGCATCTTCCCGGGGACCACTGACCAAAACAAACAAGTTCATAGATAACAAATCAGTGGTATTCTTTCTTTTCAAAAATACTACAGGTTGTGTTGATGTTGATTTAATAAAAAAAGAACAGTCAAATGTTGTAAATTACTATAAGAACAATTGTGATTTCTACATATTAAAGGAGAGAATGATCAGATAGAGCTAATACAAAACAGCCATCATTCAGGCAATCAAACCAATAGGGAAATAACCAATCATCATGTCATTCTCCAATTCTGATTGTTATTGTTACATGCTTTAAAATCAAAGTAGTAAGATATCATGAAACATGGTATGCTCTAATAACATACAGTAAAGGGTTTATTTTTAAAATAAAAAACAAAAAACACATCTTACTATTACTTGAAAATTAAAATAAACTGGGACATAGGGAGATTGATCAGATAGAGCTAATACAAAAATGCCATCATACAGGCAATCAAACCAATAGGGAAATAACAAATCATCATATCATTCTCCAACTCTGGTTGTCATTGTCATTTGTTTTAAAACCAAAGTAAATTTAACATTAAAACACATCTAATACAGTCATAACCCATGTGTGGTAATATATAAAGTTGGCATGGCATTGCTCTAACAAAATACATAGTAAGGGATTCACTTTAAAATAAAAAATAAAACGGAAAAAAAACATTGTTAATTGAAAATTATAATAAACAGAGATAGGGAGAATGATCAGATAGAGCTAATACAAAAATGCCATCATCCAGACAATCAAACCAATAGGGAAATAACCAATCATCACATCATTCTCCAACTATGATTGTCACTGTCATTTGCTTTAAAATCAAGGTAGATTTAACATTAAAACACATCTAAAATAGAGTCATAACCCATAAGCAGTAATCTATCACATAAGTTGGAATGCTCTAACAATAAATATTTTAAAGAGTTTATTTTAAAAATAACAAACAAAATGAGTGAAAAACATATTACTAGGTAAAAACTGAGATAGTGAGAATGATCAGATAGAGCTAATACAAAAATGCCATCATACGGGCAATCAAACCAATAGGGAAATAACCAATCATCATGTCATTCACCAACTCTGATTGTCTTTGTTTTATGCTTTATATACCAAATTAGATTATCAAAACCCATAAGAGGTAGGATATCACAAAAAATGGAATGCTTTAACAACTCTAAAGTAAAGGGTTCACTTCTACAACAAAACAATGAAGTAGAATGTTAGGAGAATGGTCAGACATGATACCAATTGCATCATTTAGATTATCAAACCAATAGGGAAACAAATATTCATCACTCCATTCTCCAAATCAAACCAAACGAATAAAGACAAACCCACCACAATAATTAAAAACCAAATGTATACACATCAAATTCAAATTTCAGAATCCATCAAAACATATAACCAAAACTTCTTAATCTAAAAACTCATCAAACAAATCATACCTGTTGACGACGGCATCAACAATGACCTGAATCGGGTTCTGGTCAGTTAGCAAATGAATGATCTCCATGGCATGCTTGATGATTCCAACCGCCTTTAGCTTCTTTCCATTGTTCCTCCCGTGCATCATGAGAGAGTTTGTGAGCCTCTCTACAATAGGACACTGAGCCTTTCTAAACCTCTTAACAGAGTATCTACCAGCAGTGTGAGGAACGTATGTTGCATGTTTGGTTGCCGCAACTCCAATGTAATCACTCAAAGACACATCAGAGAACTAAAACACCCCAACAAACAAACCAATATCAGAAATTGTTCAAACCCTAAATAGATAACCGAATCAACCCAAATTGTTCAAATTACATTATCTAGATTGAAATATGACAAAGAAAAATACAAAACCTGGACGTCGTCAAAGCTCCAGCGGTTAAAGAGCTTGACTTCGATCTGAGAGGGATCTGAAACGACAGCAACGGGTTCTTGAACAACAACTTCAGCCATGGCTGCATAAAAATCAATCAAAGTTAGTTAACGAAATCTAAAGATGAGGAATACAGCTGGAGTAAACAACGAACTTGCTGTGTGAGAATGGTGCGGCGACTGAGGCAACCAAATCACACGATGCAGGGGAAGCGAAGTGTATCAGAAACCCTAGCAATGGTGTTTAACTAATTCACAGATAAACTTATAAACGATGCAAACCCTAGGCAAAACAATATGGGCCGGCCCAGTAGTTTTGTTTGTTTGTTAAAAGAGATCAAGGATTGAACCCTCCCTTTTAGTTCTAGACTTAACAAAATAAATGATTTTTTGAGTTAGTTTTTGTAATTTTCGGGTCGGTTTAACTTTAAGTCTGATTCTCTTGTATTATTTAAGTTAAAACGCAATGCTACTGCTAGGTTATTGAATATTCACAAAATTAAAACAATTTTGTACGAATTCATGGGAAATTAATTTTCTCACGGTTGATCTATTGTAATCGCACCTCCATCATGCTTTGAGATTTTTTTTCAATTAAATTTATTTTCATTTCTATTCTTCTCTTTGATATTCAAATGCTTAATTTGATTTATCTTATAGTCGATTGATTTATTTTGATGGTTGTATATTCTTTTACTTTATTCGGGTTTGCTTAACGCGCGTTGTTTTATCGTGTCTGCTTAATTCACAATTGCTTTAATCCATCTGATTAACTCGGAAATTAGGAATATATATCTTGTAGTGTCAATTGTGCTTGTTTGATTGATATTGTAATCGAAAAGGGAATAGAATTCGCTTAGAGCTTAGGAGTTATAGTGATCGATGATAAGTTGAAGACCGAACGGTAGATTAATCTATTAATCTTAATTGTTATTAAACTCGTTTTATCGTTTATCATAATCTCGATCGAAACCAAAAAAAACTCATTGTTATAGTCTATTGACTTATAATCAATTCAAGAGTCTTTGCGATGCGATTCGGGTGTCGCTTCCCTGAACTACAATTATTTGTTCGTTTTTTACATGTGTGCGACAGTGGATTAAATTGGCGTCGTTGATAGGGACTCTCTATTGATTTTATCCAATTTTAGAACTAGTTTAGGGTCTTATTAGCATTTTTTGTTTTTTTTTACTGTTTGTCAATTTTTACGGTTGTTGCATAGTTGTAAGTATTTCAGCCTATTTTCCAAGTGACTCGTTAAGTTAATGTTTTGAATTGCTCCGATTTTTTTCACAAAATTTGAAGGAAAAAAATAAACAAATATTACTCATTTCGACCCTCAAAATCGCAAATTCTCTTTTTTTTCTATTTTATTTGAATTTTTTTCTATTTTCATATTTTCAAAAATATCCAAAAAAAAATAATCTAGATTCGTTATTTTATTTTAATTTATTTTTTGTCATATTTTCATAGTTTTTAGATTTTATTTTAAGCGTTTTTCATTAGATTTTATTAGTCATATTTGTTAGTGATTATGTGTTGATTTGATTCTGATTTTGATTTGATTAGTGATTTTATTTTATTTTATATTGATTTGATTCCGATTTGAATTTGATATTCATATCATGGATGATCAAAATAAAATCTTAAAAGAACTTGTTGCACTTGATTTACTTTTTGATGATTTTCCTTCCTTGTCTGATTTTGATGGCACTTATACTTGTGATGTTTGTATCACTACGCCAAAAACTGCTTTTTGCAGCGCCTCTACTAAAGCGCTTATTGAAAAAGCGCTGCCATAGCCTTCACAAAAAACAAAATTAAAAAAAAGGGAAACCTACGAAGGCGCTTTTTTAAAAGCGCTGGCATAGGGTTCCCTACGAAAGCGCTTTTCAGAAAGCGCTTTCATAGGTATTTGAAATATCTAACCTACGAAAGCGCTTTTGAAAAGCGCTCTTATAGGGAACCCTATGCCAGCGCTTTTGAAAAGCGCTTTGAAAGGGGGACCTACGAAAGCGCTTTTTACCTCAGAAGCGCTCTTATAGGGAACCCTATGCCAGCGCTTTTTAAAAGCGCTTTCGTAGGTTGTTTTTATAATAAAATTAAAAATCCCTAAATCTGTTCTTTAGTCTTCTTCATTTCTTTCGTTCACATCTTCTTCATTTCTTCCGTCGCCGCCGTTCGTTCCTTCCTCTTCAGTCGTCGCCACCGCCGGTCATTCCGTCTTCTCCACCTTGGTAAGATTCTGAATCAATATAGTGTAAATCAATATGCATGTGTTTAATGTTGTAATGAGTTAGTGAACTCTATTAGGTTTAATCATAAATGCTCAAGTACTCAAAAAAAAAAAGAAGAAGATAACAACATTTAATTCTTCTGGTCCATCCAAGAACAGTTAAAAAATCAATGTGAAAAAAAATGAGGATACATTAATAGGAAGAGATAGTTAATGGACAAAATCACTATAATGTGATTCTTGTACGGATTTCATTAAATCTTGTGATTGTGAAAAAGGAACATGGATGAAAAAAATGGAATTGAATTGTTTTGAATTGTCTGATTTGTAGTGAAGTGTGGTTCTGTCCTTTAGCTTATGGCAAAGGAATAATAGTGTAGTAATAGTGAAACTGCAAATTTTGTTGGAAGGGTGTTAGTACTATGTGATTTTAATGTAAAAAGTTTCAAGCTTCTAAGGCTTAGTATTTTATAAGCATTTGCGCTATAAACTTATCTCGATGAAATCGTGGACCACAATGGGTTGGTTCACCGAAGAAATCAAAAAACACCCTTTTCTAAAGTTTTGTTCTCACTTCTTTGTTTTTGTTTCTCACACTCTTTCATGTGTGTTTCGTGTGTATTATAATGGCAACATGAATGCTATTTTTAGTCACAAATGATCGATTATATACACATTAATATTTCTAATTCAATTTGTTAGTGGTTAACCAAGTTAGGTAAGATTAAGTAATAGAATATCTTACCTGTTACTTCATTAGGTTCTTTACTATAGTAAAGTTTGATAATGCAGTGCTTTAGATTTTTTCTTTTTTACTTTGGAATATTGTGTTGGTTTTCTTATATGAAAGCATCATTTGTTGAAATCCTTGTTTTATGTGGAGATAAAGGTTTAAATGGAACATGTGATAGGGGATTGATTCTGGTGACATTTTAAACTTTATGGTTAGCTTTATAGAAATTATTCAAGTGTTAGGTTAATATAATTGCCTTTGTTATTTTAAACATTTACCTCAAAAATTAGGTATTGTCCGTTTTAACATAATAGTAAAATTAGTGGTTGTTCGATTAAGATTAAATAATGCATAATTATAAAATAAAACATGTATTTATATGAATTATAAAATCGTGGTCTGAAGAATGTTGATATTATAAATGTGTGAATATAGAGTTCTTAAACTATCGGAGTCTGATTTTATTGTCCTAAAAAATTGATAAGGTTATTCTCCGCTTATAACATCAACATATGCATTCTAGCTAGTTTACGACTTATGATATGGACTTGAAAACAAAACCATCCCCTACAATATTCAATTATACCTTAATATTCATTCACTCATTTCCTTAACTAAAGGACACAACAACTTGAAAACGATGAGAGCCAAACCTTGTAAGCTAGTACAAAACCTAGGTTTGTGCATTATACTCATATTCACAATTTATATGAAGTCTTATCCAATATGCACTACACATTTTTGTATATATGTAATGAATGAAATGTGACGTTTTGGCTACGAATTTTTGTTTTCTTCTCTCTCTGAACCTTAGTATGAATTTTGATTGAATCACAGGGAGAAAGAATTAGCTGCTGTTAAGATAAATGCAGCAGATGTTGATATAATTGCAAACGAACTAGAGGTAACTTCTTCAACATGTACAGAAATCTATCTAGTAAGCTTACATTCCAATTAATTAACATACTTTTCTTATACAACAGTTGGACAAAAAGGTGGCTGAAAGAACCTTGCGTTGCTGCCATTCGTCATTTGCTTCACTAGTATGGTGGAAACAAATAAGGGAATGTGATCTATATTGTCAATGAAAATGTTTTGTTTTTAGTTACTCCTAAGTTTAACATGTTGTTTACATTCAAATCATGCAGCGGATAGTTCAACGATTTAATATCGATTGTGGTAGGAAAAAGCTGTGAAACTTTCTCCGATTGAAGAAATTCGAACTGTCCTTGATCGTAGTGTACGCGGGACGCTCTCAACATTTTCAAAGGTTTCTATCCTATTCTTGAACTGACTTGAATAACTGATTGTTTTTACTTTTATTTTCCGGCTCAGTGTGAATTTCTAATGATTATAGTTGAGTGGAATTCATGAGCTGCGGTTGTGTTTTTGTTTATATCCGACTTCACTAGTTAGTAATTAGTTATGAGTTGTTTAGCACATGCTTAAGGTGAGGCAAGAATAACTATGAATTTGATTACCTGATATGTTGAATTTCTTTACAGGTAATTAATTATTATTTTGCTATAGTTGCGTGACTAATTAGTTGCTATAGTCAAACCATGGATAAAAAATGGATGACTGCCAATCGATTGTCGAAAGAGTATGAGGATGGGGTATCAGAATTCGTTAAGTTTGCCGTTGCGCACGCCAGAGAACCCAATGGAATGATATGTCCTTGCTTGAGATGCTATTATGGGAGACGGGTTGACGCGGTTCAGTTGGAATCGCATTTACTGATGCATGGAATTGATAGAAGCTATGCATGTTGGAATTTGCATGGTGAGAAAAGTAGCGGGAATGTTGAATCGAGTTATAATACGACGTATGCTTCAAATGAGGATTTCGCAGACGCATACGATTATGATCGAGTCGAAGAGATTGCAGAAGCGCTTGAAGAAGATCTTGAGGATTGTCCCAAAATGTTCGAGAGGTTGGTAAGCGATGCAGAGAAACCGTTGTATGATGGTTGTACAAAATTCACAAGATTGTCTGCGGTGTTAAAGTTGTACAACTTAAAGGCGGACAACGGATGGTCGGATAAAAGTTTCACACAGTTATTAGCCCTCGTGAAAGAAATGCTACCAGAGGATAATGTTCTTCCCAATCGAA